TAGTTAAAAACTGTGACTGGAGGAAGACAAAATCCCTCAGAAGAAGAAATGGCCAGTTAGTGAAGACAATAAGCAGTAAAGGTATGGAGAGTGGTCCACATACTGGCACCAAAGAAGTCTTCCAAAAGGTGAAGAAAATGATGAATACAAAGGGAAGTGCTCAGAAAAGACAGAATCAATCTGGAGAAAGGAAAAAATAAGCTAAGTAAATCTACTGGCAAACCCTACCATAATGATAATGGTCATGGGACTGGAAAGGATTCCAAGAAATAAACAATGGGAAGGAATCATTTCCAACTAATTAAAGTTTGTTGTTCTTGATCAATCAGTGTCATGATTGAATCACCAAAATAGGTTTTGAATAGACAATTATCTGATTCAAAATAATAAATTTTTGGCACACTCTTTCTGGAATATTGTTGTGTACAAAATGATGACTAATTTTAATAATTATGGTATTCTCAGGGGAGAAACCTGACCAGGAAGAGATAAATGATCTGCCACGTGATACAGGACATCCAGAATAAGAATGTGGAAGATGAGGCCCAACACAGGAGGACCAGTGGCATGCACCAGAGGTAACTTAATGGAATGCCCACTTTCCTGAAGATGTACAAGACGATTGTTGAGTAGTCAGAAAACACTACCACCAACCGTCCCTGCAGGACTGGTAAGGAAGTGAACCAGAGCCCATCAAACTGCTAGAAGCCCAAGGTGACGGAAATGTGCAAGGACTTCAAGTGAGACAACCAGCCTGAAACATCCCAAGCACCCAAAAAATTACTCCAACCATAAAGGGGGAGTACCCAGAAAAGGAGGCATTATGGATGTGGAGGAGGAACACCCAAAAAGGTGTTAACCTGATCCTGCCAACCAGGCTAAGTTGGTTGGGAAGGAACAATAAAAAGAGCCCCCAAGGGATCCCAAACGAGACTCCACTTGACCAACAAATCCATGAAAGACAACACAAGAGGTCTTGACCAATAGGAATGAGGGCTATCCGAGAAGCCCATGTACCAAAATGAGAGAAAATCTCAAGAAAAATGGAAGAGGTAGAGAAGGAGAGATTGCAAACCAGAATCACCCTAGCCCTAAACCAAAAAGGGAGAAGACTGGGCCCAACTGAGTAGGAAATAAAATAACACCCCAAGATCAATGAAAATATGTTACCACCTTCACCAACCAAGCCTCTACTCTTAGAAAAAAAAATGAAGAAAGGCAGGATCGGCTTATTAGGAAGCCAGGCATTATTGTCATGGTGGAAATGACAGCCCCTGGAAAGGAACAAGACAGGCAAAAACCCAGACCATCCAAATTGTAAGGAATCAAGGAGAGGTCCAACAGAGGAGTCTGGGCTGAAAACAAACAATCCCTATGGACCCAAAGAAGAAAGCCAGAATGCAGGGGAGTAGTTAATGAGGAGGAATGCATTTGATACAACACCCTCTTCTTCCACAAACCAAGAGGAAAACCCAACAAAGGGCTAATTACGACCCCATTGGGAAATGTAGGACAAAAATGGTTCAAAACTGACAAAATGTTGATAGAGCACTAGTCCCTTGGCTTCGAAGGGACAACAAACAGACAGGAATACGAACCCCAAATCTAGGGATCTCCCTGGATGATGGCATCCTTGCAAAGCAAATTTCTAACCACCTCCTAAAAACTCTGGTATGAGATGGAAACCCAAGGAGGAGGAAAATTAGAAAAAAGGTCTAGATCAAATGCAATCGACTCAGCATTCAAAGATCTATAAGAAATTATCTCCAAACTTGAGCAAAGCAGTTGAAAACATTGTTGTACCATGTCTGATAGTGAGAATGTGTGTATATTGTAGAGCAAGAAAGACGAAATGAAGTTAAGCAACAGGGCTGACTTAACCCTGGACTCCCGACAGTTGGGAATACCCCCCCAAAAAAATTACCTGGTACCAAACAAAAGTGCCATACTCAAAACCAAATTAAGAAGTTTGATCCCCACCAAAGGACAAGCTACACCACATTCTGCAAGCCTAAAGAGGGAAGTCAGAACGATGACATGCTGGAGCAAAGTCGTCCACAGTACATGGGAGTCGAAGTATTCATGTGCCCGACTAAACTGATCCCAAAACTACACTCTATACCCCAAAAATCTGAATGGTTCAGGAAACACTAAAACTGACCCAACAGCTTTTCACAGAAAAGGGCAGGAATAGAAGGTTAAGAAATAGGAGGTAATGATAAAACATATACTACCTGATTGAATAAGTCTGCCAAAAAAGAATGGAGGCCAAGACATC